CTTTCGTATTAGAACGGAAGCAGAGCTTGCCAGATCAGCAGAAAGAAAAAAACCACCACGGAAAAGCGCAGTTGCTTCGCCCGAGACCCCACAAGTATAAATAAATATTTACGTGATTTTTCAAAAATTAATTATTATTTAAAAAAAATTATAACGTTTTATCTATTTTATATAATTTAGACCACTCCAAAATCTTCTCGTTCATCAAGAAGGACCAGCAAAGGCAAACTTAAAGCTGCTGTAAATGAACCTGAAGTCGTATCTGAGGAATCAACAGACATAGATTCAAGAACATTAAAAGTTAGATCAATTGCACCAGAGGTAGTACCAGATCTAACACCTAAAACAAATGATAAAGGACGATTATATCCAGAGCTTTCAGTTTCAAAACGTGTCAAAGAAGATAATTCTACTAGTCGACGTGAAGCAGTGGCATATGCATTTAGAAATCCTAATTATATGCCAACGCGACAAATTAATCGTCAACCATCACCCGAATTAATAAAATCACAAACAAAACCACGCGGAGTGAAAACTGCACTTATGTTATTTTTTGTAATTTTGATGATTGGTGCTTACGCACAAATCAAAATGGAAATTGGCTTTTGTGATGGACCTTCGAATGCAGTAGGCGGTGGAAGCACCGAGAGTGAAAGTAAGACTCAACATTAGATAAATTTAATTTAATTAATTAGAGGAGAATTGTAATTATAATAATTTATAATAATTTATCTGGAACCTTATATAGCACCCTTTTTTGAGATCACTTGTACGCCTTGTCCAGATCATGCCCATTGCTCAGAGGGTAAGATCACCTCGTGTGATGAAGGTTTCGTAATCAAATCTTCATCAATTCATTGGCTCAAACCTTTCACCAGCAGATGTATACTTGATTTAGACTGGGAGTATAAGATTACAAAGTATACCGAGCTGTTTAAAAAAATATCTGCCGAAGAAACTGGAAAGGTTGAGTGCGGAAATGGCGATCGAGAAGGATTATTATTTCAAAATCTTATTATATTACTTCGTCAAAAGAAATTAGTGAGTAAATAATTTTGATAATCTTCAGAAAGTAGATAGATATTCTGATATTCCTTAGAAAGCATATAGATATTCTGATATTCACAGGCATTAATGATCATTTGTAACAACGAAACAAGACTAATTTTTTTTTTTTTTCGGTTTTATGATAGCCATCACAGGACACAGAAGAGAATTTTAAAAAATTGGCACAAACTGCATTTAAAAACTTAACGGACCCTAAGCATAATGATGTTGAAATAGTTGATGAAAGAGAGTATGTTTTTTTTTTAAGCTTGAATATTCCTGAATCATAATACGAATTATAGTTTTATTGATTTGCAATATTTTTAGGAGTTACAATCAACTCAAATCCTATGTTATCTCGAAGAAGCCAAAACACAATCTTCTTTGTAAATTTAA